ACCAATAAAAAAAAATTTATTCTTTACCTAAAAATAATATGTGACCTATTAAATTTTTGATTTGTAATCGAAAAATAAATTGTAACTAATAATTTGATATGTTGTGATTAAAAATTAATCTGTGACTAATTAATTTTTTTATTTGTGATCAATGAACAAACTATGACTTACAGAATTTTTAAATTGTGATAGTAAAATAATTTGTGACATATAATTTCTTATTTGTGACCAAAAAATAATAAGTGATGAATTAAATTTTTAATTTGTGATCAAATTGTATAGATATGTGGCCTAAATATATTCAATTAATAAAATAGTTAATTAAATCATAAATAAATTTTAATAAAAATCTAATTTTTAAAGTTTGAAACTTATTTTCTTAATTTTGAAATATGTCATATTTAATTAAATTTTCCCCTAGTTCTAAGATGCCTAAAGCAGCCCTGCTATTTTAGCCCAAGTTATGGCCCACATCTTAACCCAATACATATCCACTTCTAAAAAGCTTGGGTGGTCATTAGAATCCAAACTTGGGCCAATAAGGGACGACGTCCCTTGGTCTTCCAAATATACAATAGGAACTTTTCCTATTTCCTTTTAATTTTCAACGCTTTTTCAAGTTTCGACCGTGTCATTTGAAACTTTATTTTTACATTCATTAAAAATGATTTTCAGCATTAAATAGTAAATATACTAAAAATATCTTTTTGCAAAGGAGGACAAGTTTGACTTCGAAACCACAAAAAATCCCCCCGAAAGTTGCCTAAATTCAACTCATCAAAACCCATTTTTTCTTTCTCAAGGTCCAAGAATGACTTCAGCAGGCTAAAGATAGTCTTTGGCCCAATTTTAATCGTGTAAGATATGGGGAACGGAACTTGAACAATCCTCTAGACGTCCAGGGGATTGTTCAACCAGCACTGCCCGTAAGATATAGGCTACTAAACAATTGTTTTAAGGATAAACTGAATTTTAAAATTAGGGTTTGGTTTGATTCCCATTTTTTCCAAAATACATTTATCGCTTTCTTTTTTTCAACCACACATTTTTCATTAAAATAATATTACACGTAAATAAATAAATAAAAATCTCCTTATTTTTCAATTACATATTTCTCATAAATTCACTATTCTAAAATGCATTTTTCTATAAAAAGGGGACCAAAACACCCTCTAGATTCAATCTTTGAGTAGGTGAGTTTTTTTGTCATATTCCACTCTTTAGAGGGTCTACAAGAACTTTATTGCTTTCTCAAAAATTATCTTGTTTCTTCTATTTGTTTACTTTTGTCACCGGTGCATCAACTCTCATCTTAATGCCAAGGCCTTTCGGTGAAGACTATAGAATGATACATATACTTATGTAGTATGGACCGTCCCACTTCATGACTTCCCAAGATAGAAATCAACCAATTATCTGATAAAACTTGACTTCTTAGATAGCAACTTTCCTTGATGTGCACCCCCACTAAACCGACTTTAAGCTTCAAAAAATATCTGATTGACCGACTGATATGCAATTCTGGAAACCACCTTTTTCCAATTTGATTGAGCCGCGTTGTTGTGCAGTTGCACAATTGAGGAGCGAATTACCCAAATAGTCTCTGAACTTTGTAAAAAAAAATTACGGGATCGTTGAACTTTAAAAGTCATTCAATTCATCGTTGAATTTTGCAAAAAAAAATTTATGGGGTCATTGAACTTTAAAAACCACCACATTCATCACTGAACTTTGCAAAAGATTTTTACGAGATCACTGAACTTTGTAAAAAATTTCTTAGGAGATCACTGAATTAGTGATCTCTGAGAAACATTTTACAAAGTTCAATGATGAATTTGGTGATTTTTAAAGTTCAGTGACCTCGTGTAAATATTTTGCAAAGTTCATCGATGAATTGAATGATTCTTAAAGTTCATTGACCCTGTGAAAACCTTTTATAGTGTTCAGTGAGCATTTGGGTAATTCACTCCACAATTGAGCTTGGCATATTTTCAAATCTTTACCTTGACACGTGGCGTGTACATCAAAGTATTTATAAACTATTTATAAGCGGTCAAATCAATTTTTATCTATACATTTTGAGAAATTCACAATATTTATCCACTACTCATTTTTATCTATTTATCTATTTCAAATTGAAACTGTTTATAAACACTTCCCAAAACAAGTCAATGAAGACTCCATGCTGCAAATAGACACAATCGCAATATTGGAATGATAAATGATAGTTCTGAGACTTTTTTTTGTCTTCAACAGAATATTTGGACTCTCAAGAGTTTAATTGCAAATAGAACTCTTATCAAAGACGGATTGTAAGACTATGAATAAGAAAGTCGTGTTGGAAAAATGAAAGAGTTGGAATAGGAAATTGGTTTTTTCAAAGGAAGAGAAGTTCAATAGTTACGTAATTTAAACCCCTCTCTAATCAAAGAGTCGTATGCTGAGTCTATAAATTGTTATATACATATAGTATAACCGAGAACCTTTTGTTTTTATTTTTTTTATTTTTTGAAAGGTAATCAAATATTTTATTAATCAGTGTATAATACAAAGGAAGTGTACAATAAATTTAAACCAGAAAGGAACAACAAGACATTGGACGACCCGTCTATATGCCTAGTAATCGCAGCCTTAAACCAAGTATACAATATCAAGCCTCCGTTTGACCCCCGTTAATTTTCATTCCATTACATTTTATTTTTTTCTCTCCTATTTTCAACCACACAATCTTTCATAAAATAATATTACACGTAAATCGAAAAGTTTCCTTCTTTTTCAACCACTCATTTTTCAAAAAAACACTATTTCATCCATTTTCATTTATACAAAATGGGGGCCAAATAAAACAATTCTTGAATCTGCTCTATTATTCGTGTTTAATCATCAAAGCAACGACTGTTTCTTTCTCTCCACGTACAATTCTTACATTGCTTGAAAAGTTACGACCTTTGAAAACAGTGACCTTTTGAACTAATTGACAGTGTGCAATTACTATAATAGGGCTTTCTTCTTAGCTAATTGTTCGAACAAAACCCTCAAGCGTTTGGGATCGTTGACAAGTAATAAATTTATTAAGTTAAAAGTACCGTACCACGAGGAATAATTTTAATTATAGTTTATTAGTGATAATTAAATTCGATTTAATGTAACACAAAAGAGATTTATCGCTAATTTTAAACCATGAAAGCAACAAAAGATTTATTTTTATCCAAAGATGAATGTATTGGATTTCAAATCCATCTATTGATGTCTAGTTCTAATTCTTGACTTATGAAGGTTAATTTAATTGATGTGTTCATGACAATGAATAATCAGTTAAACCTAATATTCTCTTTCAAAACATTAAATCTATGCTTGATACGACCCAATCATATTCCTAGAGTCAAAATTTATATGCAAAACACGTATTCAATTACAAGATTATCTCACACAATTACACTCGTAATAAACATTATTCTTAATATCTATTGCATGTATGTTAAATAAGCAGTGTTTTACTTATTATCGGTCTCCCAACACTATAAATAAGCAACTAGTTATCCAAATGATAACCAAACATTTAAACAACACAAGATTCATGCATATTTAATCAAGAACACAAGAATTAACTAAAAAATAATAAATTTTTAATTAAAAATTAAAATCAATGGTTTCATCATCCATCTAATACATAAAGATTTAGCCTAACATTGTCTTATGAAAATTACATAGAAGAAATAGAAACGACACCATCCGAGACTAAGAAACTTGATAATAACGTGAAAATTTCAATTCCTTGCTTGAAACTCAACCCTCAAAAATGCAATTCCGCTCCTTAAATGTAAAAAAATCTCTATTTTTTTGCTCGTCTATTATGAAAACTTGCCTCCTTTTTGTTCTAGATGTACTCTTCAATTTATAGGATGTTAAAAGATTGCATTTAATTGTTACCAAAACAAAATACGAAAAATTAGATGAACTTTCTTCGAGGTCTTTTTTGGTTTTTTTTTTTTCGATACTTTCACTTATTTAAAAGTTCAATTGAATCCTTCTACTTTCGAATCTTCATTTTTTGTTCCGAGCCAACTTTCGATTATTTGCGCTTTAATCCCTAAACTTTGTATTTGATTCAATTAAGCCCTTTTCACTTGTTTTCTCTGATTTCACCACAGTTATCAATGTTCTCCTACAAAGCAATATTACATAGAATTAAGCAATATTTCAAAGAATTAATCAACAAATATCTTGATTTAACAGTCCAAATAAGTGTATAGAATACACTTATCACAAATGCTATCAAATTTTCATGTTGTTTACTCTCTATTTCATTCTTGAAATTTCTCTACTAAAACTCTATCTTCTACTTCGATTTACAAATCAGAAAATTGAATTTGGTATTCAAGTCCTTAGGAAGAGGCACTTGCTCAAAGACCTTCTACGCTCTGGAACCAAATTTGTCTTCAAGAGAGATCGTGAATTTGATCCACTCGAATTATTTTCGTGATTACGAAGTACGGCTCATTGATTCAATTGCTTTGCTTTCATTGATGTACGAAATGAATGACACAAGAAACTCTATTTTTCTTCTCTTATCATTTAAGCTTCCTAAAAACCGACTTAAATATCGAATTGAAATACACTACTATCCCCTTACTACTTGGCCACGTTGATCGAACTTTCGAGTTTTTCTCAAATTTTTCAACAATACCAGAAATTAACACATGTTTGGCTTTGATTACTAAACCAAATTATGTTAGGCAACTATGCTACATGGGAAATATTACCCCTTAATTCAGCATATGAGCTTAGAGGTGAAATTGTTTTTAGCACAGTGATGATATATATTCAAGTTGTAGGCCCCCCAAAGACCCCAGTATTCTACATAAATTCCTAAAATAACTTGGAAACATGTAACTTTCACATTGCTTGTTTAGATATGCATTGAATTCACTTTGTCTATGATATATACCTCCTCCAAATAATAATTCCCCCATCAATTTCTTACGTATCAAAGAAGCCACTTGTCAAATGAAATTTTGATAGGCTTATTAAACGAAATGAATCTACCCCAGCACAAACCTCTATCAATCACTTCTTGTATAGAAAAACCGAGACGCAATGATGTTCTTCCTCTCTACATGATGATGGTTTCTACAGGGAACAACTTTAGTCAAAAGGCACGTCTGATGGAGGTTCAATGGGAATAGCCTGCCTAATTCAAGGCATCTATATATAAAGCCTCTTACCATTTCTGTTTCAGTAGGTTTCAGTCGTCTAATCTCTCGTTGTTCTATCAAAACTTTTCCACGCGAAGAAAACACGTAAAGGATTTCGACATCAGACACTTGATGGCATCATATGAAGACACGGAAGATGAGAGATACAGAAGATTTCTGAGGATTGTAAAGATATGGATAGTTTGCTTGGGATCATTTTCAGTAAGCATGGTGGGTGGGCTAATATTGGCTTGGTGGGAGTTTTATTATCATCCTACAAATGAACAGCAGTGGATGGTGCCTGTAGGTCTCATTCTTTTTGCTACACCACTCACTGTTTGGTTATCAGTCTTTATATCAGATATCTGCAACTCCTGTCACAACTCCCCACATAGTTGGCTAGAAAAAGACATTTCACGACCCGATAGATGATCAACCGACTCAGCTGCCATTAAGAAAAAGCTGTTTGTTCGTATGATTTCCAGCAGGCTCCTTGCTGGGAGCGTGGTACAAGAAGTCTGTGCCTGTGTATCACCACAAAACTTTCTGCTTTCTTGTGGGACAAAATACATGTAATTGATACCAAGCATATGAGTATTATATGTCAATTTGAATACCTTTAAGCATGATTTCTAATGAGTGACTAGCAGGTCTATAATATTGAAAAGAGGAAAGCAATGATGTTAGGGAGGAGATATGCAAGGCCAAAATGTCACCTTCCCCAGTAAGCATGCATTTTAGTGTTTGTAATCTACTCAAATAGAACTATAAGAAAAATGATACTTGGTACACCCAGGTGGGTTTGATAGAATGCACAAGTGGCAAGATTTCATAGGCTGGTGGAACTTTTTTTTTTTTGTCCACCAGCCTATGAAATGTTGCCACCTCTACATTCTATCACCCAGGTGGTAAACCTGGGCTTAGATGTAGCATTTCTCGGACTATAATATAATTCATAAATGGGGGCCTTCAATCAATGAATCATTCATTTGATACGCCTTCTGTTTTGTGCAAAGAGATGAAATAAGGCTGCTATCATGAGATGCAGACAGCTCAGGGAGGAGTGGGCTCATGGAGAAAAGATCAAATTCATCAAATTTCAAAATCTGCACCATATATAGTATAAATGATTTGAAAGCTAACTTTAAGATAAAGGGAAACTTGTGTCAATCATGTTTGTATTCATGAACAACAAAAGTAAAAAAATAGCATTTCTATTGAATTTATAGGATCAATTATAGCCAGATCAACATGCCATTAACTGAGCCAGAAGAACTGAGAGTTCTATTTCACGAAAAAGAGAACATGCAGGTCCAAAAGTTGGAAACTACACAGATAGACAGTAGATTTTATGAGATTATGGGGCACATGATACAAGTATGTCCAATATTTCTCAGTTCACAATAAGATATATATGCTTGTGCAAAAATGTGTTTTTTGTAAATGATTCAACTTTATAGATGCTACAAGGACAAATTACCAAAAACCAAGAACTTATAAATTTTAAATTTTATAGAACGAATTAGAAAACCCACCTTATGAAAATTAGTGACTACTAAAGAAAAATAACAGACATACTTCGGAAGGTGATCAATGTTCCTCATGCTTCAATATATGAGCGCGTGGGAAAATCTAGGCCATTTAGTACAGGTATTTTCTCCAAATCTTCCTTTGCAAATAGTGGGAAGAACCAAAATAACTTTCTAGTGCCAAAAACCTAAATAAAGAAAATAAATCGGAAGTGCAGTAAATCTATTACCTAATTGACTACAACATTAGCTCAAATTCTGATAAGTTTCCAGATAGCAAGGAACTGAAATACAGAGTATTTTTCAGAAGTGGTTCTGCAACAAACCATTCAATACCTGAGACAGAAAAGTTAAATTATAGGAAGAACAAGAAGACAATGTACTTGCCATTTATGTGGTTGATTACATCAATGGCCAAAAAACAATGAATCCACTATCGAGAGATCACAATTTTTCCAACTGTCTTGTCCAAATTCTCCATAGGACTTAATTCAAGATATTACGATGAGAAAATCACTCATAAAGAGACCATTATTACAACATGCTCCTAAGAGCAACCAATTGAATCAATGTGCAAGATGGATCCGTATCAAATTCCTGGGACGCACCCATCAGCTCTAGAGCTTTGTTTGATAACACTAAACTGCGTTCAACTTCAGAAACTAAAGCTCATTTTTCTCCTTCTATAAACCATGAAAACTTAAACTGGGCAGTGCCATGGTTTGGGCACAAATACAAGGTAATAGTTAGTTACATTCTCAACTAGTACTCTGATACTTATGAAGGCGATTATCCACATACTTAGGATAATAATCTTATTGATATGTTTCCTTTCTCCAGTACTTTCAATTAACATTAGAAAGCTTCAATGTGATATTACCAATTTTCTCTGACTTCTCTTATCATCTTTTTAATAAGCACACACTTTTCGGAGATTGATATAAGAATCAAAAGGGAGATTCAATATGTTTGTCCTGCTCAAAGTTCATTTTCATCCCAAATCGAACTTCAACCACACGGCTCTTTTTTTCTCACTAACCCGAAGTAATAGATACACAAAGACCATCCATCAAGAAAAGTTGTGCAACTTAGAGTTCTGCATGTTAAATTTAAGATTCTATTCATGGAAGATTGTTCTGTCGAACATCTAATGCAATATAAACCATGCTAGTTTAATATGGATTTACCTCAACCAAAGTGGCGTTGCTCACTAGAAGAGATGAATGCATAATTACGAAACAAAGAAGACTTAGAGCAAAAGCTAAATTCAGAACTGCAACAAGGTACAGAATATGTAAGAAACGCTAAAATGATGAAGAGGTAGATACAGCATATTGATATGATGATCATTTATTTAGAAGGAGAAATTACCGAAGGAAAGGAAAGTGACAGAAAGTTGTCTACTTGAAGTGGAATGACGACTGGCATGATTATAAAAATCTATGAAGTTGGGTAGAAGCACAAGAGTATTCATTGCTGTCTCTAGAAAGGAATAAAGCTATAAAAAACAAAAAGACAAAAAAACAAAAAAAAACAAAAATCATTCCAAGAGTCCATTCACATATATAGAAAAGAAACTGAAAGAAAACCTCGTTTTCCTTCCGAAATACCCCATATGGTCTAGGGAGGCTGGCTTATCTCTTGTTCTTGTTACCTTGAGGGAACAACTGACATGGTGACTGATGCCACTAAAGGAAAGTGAAGTTTATAAACTGTGAAATGACTGATTGGGCTCAGTTTGATATAATTAGAAAATGTCGTATAAATATGTGGAGTAGCAGATAGAGTTTAAAGGCATTTTCTCAGGGATTAAAATATATGGAAATAATGGTTGAAATATCTTCAGATTGTATGAAGAATAACAGTAAACAAACTTCGATGCATATTTGCAAAAAAGAAAAACTTTAATTCATATTTAGTTTAGTGTGCAAGGTCCATTAGGACTATCTAACGTAGTAGATTCTGAAAAGCAATTGAATATCGGTGGGAATCGAAACCAAAGCACTTCATCTTTAATAAAGTTCCAAGCAATGTGTTTCATTTCATTGAATTCACATTACGAAGAGCAAGTTGTCATTACAATGAAATTCAACTAACCATTCCTACAGTTCTCAAGACTTATTATAGAGCCCATGTCAGGTATGCGAAAGTGTAAAATATCTAAAGATCAGAGCCAAAAATATGCGAAATTCCAGTTTTTCTTTATGTGGAAGAGAAATTAATCTGATAGAACCCAAGTTAATGCAAAAAGTAAATGTAAAATTTTATGTAAAAGCCGAATGAACAAATTAATTCTTCTATGCTTTTGATGAATAAACTGATGGAAGATAAAAGAAATAACAAGGCGTTAGACATTGGAAAGGCTCTAGTCTCTCCTCCTCAATTTCAAAAATAAAAACTAAATACACCATCCCCCCACCCCAACATTTTTATTTGGTGCCTCCATTTTATTCCAGAGGTTTCTCAATTAACATACAGTATGCATAGAGTAAGCATCACCATAAATATCCTCAGCGGAAGTCTTATATTTATATACAACAAGACTATAGATTGATGGGAAATGCAACTGTTCTCACAACAGAAAGGAGAAAGAACTTGAAGTTGCGAGCCCCAGCACAATTCACAACCCGTATGCCGGGGTGATCCATTTGAAAAACACATTCTTGGCCTGCAAAAAACAAAAGCTTATAGTTTTAGTAGATAATCATCATCTTTAAAATGTAGGACCAACAGAGAGCTTGATAATGCTCCAAAAATTTGACAATTTTCACTGATATAATTAAAAGTTCACGTTATGGTAAGTTATATCAAATAATTTTGTGTCCGTTAAAATTTTAGCTTCAATTTCAAGATAATACATGCGCAAATTTAATATGCAGAAAATCTAAGGCTGACACCCCTTTCAGCCCTCACTCCTTATCCATCAAGACAGAGAAACATAAGATAGAGGTGGGAGAAGAGTAAAAGGGTACTCAAATTATAAATATATATTACAATAATGTCAACAACTCAACTGAGTCTTATCTCGTGCTTATTTGGGTCAAATAGATTGATCTCATTCATCCATTCTGCTAAATAATGTCAACTATAACCATGAACAGTATATTGGGGATAGCAACTATCAGTGTCTTGCAATTAAGATCAACAAAGAAGATAATTAGCAACCAGAATGGAAAATGAACAACATGAACCAAATAAGTTATCAAACTTGGTTCATTTTCCATAACATTCTGAAATGATATTTGTTTAAAATGAAAACATTTGGCAGGTTGCGACATTAAATGCAATTCCATGAAAAAACATATGAATATTTAAGAACATGTTCAGTTTAAATCTACATGATATTCTCTGCTAATGGAGTAGATTTTTGCGAGAACATTCTGTTTCTCAATCTACACGAATAAGTGCATGAGATATTCCAAAATCTAGTCTCAAGGAGCAAGGTCTCAGAGAACATGAAAAATTAAGTCCATTATTGTTGTAAAATATAAAATAAATTTTAATCTTTCAACCATTTAAGTTTCAGTTTTAACAAAAATTAAAACCCATTGATGTTATAGTGTAACTTGTATATAAATTGGATTTATTTTTGAATGTTGGGATTGAAATTTTCCCTATGAAATGGATTGATTTTCATACAACTTGAAATATAACTTGAGATACAACTTGAATACACAAAAAATCCTCCATATACATTCTATTTATATATTTTGGCAACTCGATAAAGGTTTGCCCGCTTATCTCCATGTGGTCGTGCCCATCAAAGGAGAATCGGCTGTGAGCTAAACAAATTTTATTTTGGAGCCATGTAGCGTCAAAAATACCAGTATGAACAGAAGGCAACAAGACTTTATAACAGGGCCCTTGACGTGACTCCTTAAGGTTTACATTTCTAAATCTTCTTTTCTTATATTTATGCTACTGTTGAATTATATATATGTTATTGAATTGATTATGTTAATTGATAAACATCTACACACAAATCACCCAACTACTATCACTTCCCTTTTTATTCCAAAATCTATGCAGCATACCCAAGATTGAAAATTGCAAGTCAATGGCGACTCACGAACACTCAGCCCGTTCAAGCTACCATATGTTACCAACTAGAATATTTAACATAGGTGAAACATAAAAATTCATAAAGGCACTAATGCATAAAGACAATCACTTTTTTAACATAACTGATACAAGTTTCACTGACAAATAACCTTAAAAGTTCAAGAATCAAATGACGACCATAAATAAAGTAAAAACGTAGTAGAAGTAAAGGGGAACAAATTAGAGTTACCAGGATGAAAAACTGCAATAATAGTGAAACGACGGAGTAATACGAGACTGCAATTATCGAAAAATATGAGGAAGATCATGAAATATCCAAGGAACTTGAGGCCGGAGCATACATGAATGGGTTCAGTACCGTTCCGGCAATTGACATAAATGTTAACTATAATTAAAATTAACATACTTTGTCTAAAATTACGATATGTAAAGTGTAATATTGATTAAAATAAAGCATGGAGCCTACGAGGCGGTAATTGCCGTTTCAAAATGTCTGGAGCTGGAGCCAGATTAGAGCCTTTGAAAAGTTTAGCTTGCTCGATTAGTATAAGGTGGATGAAATGAATGAATGTTTATGTAAGAATTGAGGTAAAGCAACTTTTTCTTTTGCAGGAAGACCTAGATGGCATCTAAGAGCCTTGTACAAGGTTCTGTACAGAAGGAAAGCCTACAACGCTTACAGGATATCATGATGGAAGGGGTGGATGAGGTTATTTTGACAATATTTTATTGGGAAAATTGTAGTCGAGGTATCAAATTTTTCGTTTAGTAGCAGGTTTTGTCCAAACCTTTCATTTGTATCACCGTAAGTACCAAATCTTTAAAAAATATGCAGCTCAAGTCTAAATTGACAGTTTCCATTAATTTGACTTCAAAAACTGTTAGTTGACCCCAAAAATTAAAAAATTTAATAAGTTAACCAATTAAGGTAAGGGTAAAATTATAACTTTAAAATTTTAATATAAAAATTTATTAAAAAAGGAAAATAAAAAATAAAAAGCCCATCTCCTCCTTCGATACCTCCCAATCCCCGAACCCCAATTGATCTTATCTCCATCATTTCAATATTATTCATTGTTATACGCAAGCCTACTTCTGCAACATCAGTAGCCACAATAAAAGGACCTTCCTGTGATGTTGCAGCCATGGAAGGAATTACTTCCGAGGTCAAAAGTGGCAACGAAGAAGAAGATGGAAATGAGTATGAATAAATCGATGGGTTTTCATTTTGACAGTATATAGATTTTCTGCTATAGCTTATTTCGGTTCAGCTAGCAGTTTCTGGTGAGTTTCAGATTTGGGACAGCCTGGTTTTCTATTCGGTTCAAGCTCTGGTTTGTTTCAAGTTTCTTGTGTTCGATTGTTTCTCTCCTACTTTGAGACGTCCAGTCAAGGTTTAGATGCTTGTGTTCTTGGTGTACTTGGGGTTTTTGGTAAACCCCTTTTACTGTATGCTCTTAGGGTTTTCCAAATTGCATGATATGTATGTATTGTGTATATAGAGTCGGCTTTGGTTTATGGGAGTGAAGATGCAGCCGTTAGGTGAAGCACAATTTGAGGTGGTGGTGCCGTAGATGGCTTCCACAGGCGAAAAGTCGTTTGTGAGGGGGTTGGGGAAGAAGAAGATGGGGATAGGTGGTTGTGGTTTTACTTTTTGCTTTTTTAATTTTTGATTTAACAGGGAAAATGTATTATGTCCAGAATGTCTTTACCTTATTTTGGAGAAATTATTAAATTTTTAATTTCTGGAGTCAACTGACGGTTTTTGAGCTCAAACTAACGGAAACTGTCAATTTGGACTTGAGCTGCACATTTTTTAAAGGTTTGGTACTCACAGTGACACAAATGAAAGGTTTGGACAAAGTCTGCTAATAAATGAAAGGTTTGGTACCTTGGCTGCAATTTTCCCTATTTTATTTATATAGAGCACACCTCCGTGTGAGTATTTATAATAATTCTGTTAATGGTCATTCTATACAAATAAAAAATTCTTCTTGAGAGTGTGTTTGATTGACATGAAAAATATTACTTAAAAATGAAAATGCTTTCTTTCTTTTGTGGAAAATAAAAACCACATCCATCCAAGGAAAATGTTTTCCTTAAAAACAAGGAAAATTATGCATATTTTCAGAAGTTGAAAAATATTTTTCATGGAAAAAAATAACAATCAAACACTCTAAATAGGAATTTAGGTAGAAAACTAATATTTTCTATGAAAAATAAATGTAATCAAACACACTTTAAAGGAATTCCAATTATCTGAAAGTGGAAATTTGTGGTTAAATAACACACAGTTAGATATGTCAATGAGTTGACTCACGAGTCAAAACTTGAAACTCGGGCTCGACTTGAGTAAAATAGTTTGAACTTTTTTACGAGCTCGAGTCAAGTCGAGCTTTGCTTGGCCAAGAAATCAAGGCTCGACCCGAACTTTTGGCTCGAGCCTTACCGAGCGGGCCAGGCTCGATTTTGAATTTTTATTTTTTTTAAATTAGGGCGGCAGTTTAATTTATTTATTATTATTATTATTTTTATAAATATAGGCTCATGAGCCCAAGCTGGAGAGTCACACGGGTCGGCGCGAGCCTTGGCTCGATTCTCCTGAGCCTCGATCCGAGTCGGCTCGGGCCTTTTTCAGGTCGAGCCGACGAGCCCAATTGACATCCCTACACACGGTTTGTTCGTTCAATAATTTATTTACGTATCACTTTGAATTAACATATCCTACTTATTTCTCGTTGACACCTGTGCTTTAACTTAGGTGTATATTGATGCGTCAATGAATCATGGGTGGGTAGCTTGTTGGACAGTCAACTTGCATAGCAAATCTCAACTCATATTCTCTGTGTATGCTACGATGGTTCATCTCATGAATTAAGCCCATCTCTTTTGATATCATAAAATTTTCCTTTAAAATCGACTTATAAATGACGACTAGGATCGTCTAGCAAATTATTGATCTAAATTTTAACAAGATGATGTACGAAGTATAATTGATAGAATTTATATGCAATAAATGAAGGGCATTCATTGGTGGATTATCTAGTGAATTAAGTCCGGCTGATTTTGATTTAATTTTTAAGAAGTTGATGTAACTATCGTACTATATAGAATTTACCTTTAAACTTATAAATAAAAGGGTGTCTAATTGGTTATTACTTTATAAATGAAGCTTTAACCTAGCAATGTTAAAAACCTTATCGAGATTTGACATGCCCGTGAATCCACTCGAGAGATATGCCTTCGAATACGTGAATAAAAATGCATGGCTGTCGTTGACTCATGCATAAAATGATGGAATAAGTTTTCCAGTGAGCATAACTCTTGTTGACTTCAAAAATGTACCTCCAAGATAGTCAAGAGATTCCAAGACCTCTCACATCTACATAAGTTATGTTTTCTGTACACTAGGATAAACGGTTGCACGTGACTTCCTTTGGTGGGGGTGGAGTTGGCCTTGCACACCCCGATGGTCAAATCAGTGGGAGAAGTAAATATATAAGTGTGTGAAGGTTTTAAATGTAAGCCCCCAATGTAAAAAGAGGGTCAAATTTGGGAGTAAAGAATGAAATAATGATATGACCCAAGTTGTAATTTGAGAGTCTAAACTTGCATTAACTTGAAATAGCACTAAGTGTAAGTTTTTATAGTGAAAGGAGATGAGTAAGGACCGTTGGATGAAGAGACGCGTGACCTCATCCCGGTAGCTGAGGCTTCTTGTCATAGGCATCAATTAGTCAAATCGAGGTTCAATTGCATTTATTGTTATGATCATATGCAGGCTTAGGCCTAACATGTAAGAATAAACTTGACTTGTCAATTGAGTATAACTATCTGTTGTCGATTTTATCTCGCAAGTGGACGGATCGTAACAAGTAGTAAAGTGAACCTTTTGAGTCCAAATTATCGTTCCTATGAGGACTATATTTTAGTACTTAATTTATTATTCCTAACTTCTATTTAATGAAAATAAATAAATAAATAAATAAAATAATTGAATGTGATTTTTAAATCTAACTATTAGAAATTTCGTGAATGTAACAGAAAATTAGTGAGAATTCAATTAATAAATGGGGATTAGGGCGGAACAAATTCACCTATTGGTCACCTTTATTTCTAATATTGAGATTCATAAAATTAAAGTAGTGTTCGGTCGAATTCTCCTATGGTATTCAATTTACCTCTCTCGAGTTCTCATTGAGCCTATTTAAATAATTTAATTCCATATCTCTATGCGAATCAACATTATTTAAACGAAATAATAGTTCTAAGAATTTCTATATGATCGCAGCAATTAATATAGGTATCTCTACACGTTATATCAATTTACGGAATGTTAATAAGTGGTCTAAACAAGAATCTGCATCTCTACGTAATTATTGTTCACAAATCATCTAATTAGTGATCAGATAATTAAATGCATTAAAAACAATATTAAAATCAACACATATAAAATAAAAAGCACTAGAATCTTAATTCAACGAAATAAAGGGTTTCAAATAAGTTACATTGTTCACCCTAAAATTATGTTTAGCTACTCGTGTTAATGGAAAACAGAACAAGATAATTTAACAGAAGACACTACCGGGAATTGACGGAATATGATTAATAAAACCGCTGCCTTTTTTCTGCGTATTTCCATCTTGTCTCATGTCTCTGCCATGTATATATAATCTCAATTTAGCACAATTGGTTTTTGCTTCCAGCCGCCAGCAAGCCTTGCGTGTATATATATGTATTTGATATTGGCATACAGCACCCAATTAATTCCACCAAAGCTACCGTTTCTTGTATGTCTCAATCTTCACAAAGCTGCCTAAATTTCCGTGCTTGTATGTCTATTAATTTGAGCAGCAAATCAGCCCTCCAATTCTCCTCTCTCGATTTTCTATGTGTATCTTCTGAAAAAAATTTCAACCTCAATTCTGTAGGAAAATTATATAAAATTGGCTGCCCTTCTCTCCTCCCCATTTTCTGTGCATATATATATATATATATATATATATATATATATATAGTAACCACAAGTTTAATACTAAAAGGGACTCTAATTTTATTTTTTTCCCTAAAAAAAACTACCAGCCTTCTGCGTGAATTATAATACAACTCTATAGTCACCATCTTTGACTTCAACTCAAAGTCTTAAACGCAATATTACCCCTCAAGTCCTCAACTTTTTATTATAATAAATTTTAGTCCTTAAGCCCTTTTATTCTTATAATTCATGTCTTCTTTGATTCAATTCAAGTCCTTTACCTTTCAAAATATTCAATTTGACCTCCAAACATTTCAATCTTCGATTCATGGTCCAGATCAACTATTGAATTGTTACAACTTGGTCCCCAACTTTTGGATTTTGCTCTTTTTTCGCTTCATTCTTTCAATTTCTTTTTCTTCATAAAATTTCACCTATTAAACATAAAAGAAAAAAATTTAGAATATAATTTGTCAAAAAAAATCATCAAATATAGTTATTTAAGGTACCAAATAAGTGTATAAAATACACTTATCATCATCTATCTAGCTAGTTGTCACACTATGCACTTATTACAAGATCTTTTATAGGATGCTTCTATCTACCTCGCCTCATCCATGAGGGCTCGACTCTCAATAGGATTTGACTAATAGGGGTTCGGCCAAATTGTCACACGTACAGAATGATGTAGAGTGCGAGCTTAGGTTCTCTTGCTGTGCAACTGTCACTTGACAATGCTTAGAACCTTTGAAAGATGCGTAATAGCTCTCTCATTTATAATTATGATTATTACATTCCACATCTCTTTTTAAATTTGATATCCACAATGGTCCTTATTCTCAATTAAGTATATTCACGAAATCAGTCCTTCACTGAAAGTAATCCTCCTAAAGTCGTCCCAATCGCAATGAGGGCGATCCCAAGAAAAGTGTTTGCTCTAATACGAATGTAAACCTTGTTTGGGTCCCAATATTGTAAGAAAATATATTATCGAATAATATTTTTTTTTCTTTAGAATACGTGATTACAAGATAAGAATTTTTTTTTTTCGATTTATGTGTAAAATTATTTTATAAAAAATATACAGTTCAAAATGAATTTTTGAAAAAATAGGGGCCAAACATAGTCCTAAACAATCTTATGATGCCCTTAAAATTGACTTTAATATGGAAGGTGTTTAATTAATTATAAACTCACAATTTAAATCTTAACCTAGCAATATTGAATACAATTAGGTTATATTTGATTGCACCCCAATTCCATGAAAAATGGAAATCAAATTCCATCTTTCCAATTTTTTTTTGTTTGATTAACAAAATTTTCCCTAAAATTCGAATTCCACATTTTATGCCACCTAAGCTAATTTACATGTTTTCCTTGAATTCCAATTCTCATCAAAATGGTGAGAATTGGAATTCTCGGTTACTGTAGCATTTTTTTTTTTCGATTTTTTGTTGTTGTTGGAAATGGAAACAGATTCTAAGAATTATTGTAAAAAAAGATTTCCCTTTAAATGACAATGTTCATGTAAAATAAAGTCAAACGGAGATCAAAAACACTTTTATCTCAACATTTTCCACATGAAAAATTATCTCAATCAAACACAATAATTTACAATTCTTGGGATAATAATTTTTAGGTAATTTAATTCTCTGAAATTCGTTATCAATTTAATTCAATTTCATCTTTACAATCAAACGGACCCTTAAAGTAATTGTAGGCGAGTCGTCTCAAGTGGGCCACTGTTTTCCATGTTAATCAATTCAAAGTTGCGTTAGGGCGTACCAAACCAAGCGTCGAAATACGGGGCGTTGCGTCAGTCCCGTGCAAAGAATAGAATAGAATACGGGGCGTTGCGTCAGTCCCGTGCATGAGCACGTGACTCCGACATCCGACAGGAAAAGATCCTCACCGTGTTTTCTTTCTTCGACCCTTTTCTAACGGGTGAAAATACACACACTCTTGTTTCTATTAGACCCTCCTCCTCAATATTTTAAACGAAACCCATAAATTTTCTCTTTCGATTTGGCTTTTTTCTTGTGGGTTTTTGTCAATTTCTTTTTATTTGAGGTTAGAGTTTAATTGAGCAAGAAACCTCGGAGATGCAGCAATCAGGGCAAATGTTTCCAGTTACCCCTTCATTTCCTCCTACTAACATCACCACTGAGCAGATTCAGAAGGTATTCTGTTTTTCTTTTATTTGTTTTTACACTTGTTTTAATATGGGTTATTCTATTTCTTTGGTTTAATTGTATGAGCTTATTGCTGGGTTTCGATTAAATAAATTATGGTTTTGTCATTGATATTTCGTTCCTAATGGTATGGCTTTTGTTATGATTCTAATTCTGTAGTATCTATAAAGAAAAGTGTATGTTGATTGAAGACTCAAAAAGAAAGTACTGTTAATGACACTTGTTAGAGTGATGCTGTTTGGGTAAAGTCATGAAGTTTCTGAATACCTGTTTTAGATTAAATTCTTCTGGTGATATAGCTTGCATTTAGTAATTCATATATTCGATCATTTCTGTTGGCTGTAAAAAGTAAAAATCGTCATTTTGTGGTCTATATATGCATTTCCATAATGATAGCTCCTCATCTTTCAATCAATTTCACCTCACTATGATTTCACACTACGTCCTTCACAATGAACTTGTATGTCGAAATTGATTTATTGCACCATTGTTTGATAGCTTCAAAAAACTTTTAATCATACACATATAAGTTATTAAGTTTATAATTATGTGAAACTTGATATATATTGGTTAATTTGATCCAAATTTCAGTCTTTTCTTATGGCTGTCTGAAAACTAGGCCCTCCTTATTTTGCTAAATGGTGAAATCCTTTCGTTTTCCAAGTTAATTAACATCGTATTAGTTGCAATGAATGTTGGGAAAATGACGTAATTTGAACTGGATAGCTTTGATTATATTAGAGTTGGTGAATGATGAGCACATTAAAGGTGTCATTCTGCTTTTTGGTCTCAAAAGTCTATTATATAACGGACACGTTTTTTATAACCACCTGATTTTTCCTAAACTATCTTTTTTTATTTTTCTTTTGGATATATTTGCAATTCTCACTCATAAAAATGGCCTGAAATATATTTTACTATTCTAATTTACTTTCTACATAAAGCATTTCCAGACCAAAATAATGTAGGATTTTGCTACCTGTACATAAAAATGTTACATAAGCGGTTACTAAAAATGATGTAGAGGGAAAAGATATGAAAAGGTAAAGTATCATGAGAACGTTACGTAATTCCTTCTTTAAACCTTGATGTACATGTAGCAAGTTCGAAAAATGTATACGATAATCAGCACCTGCATCAACTGTGCCAAAATATCTAGTTTTATAAACAGCTCAGTTAGTTTGAAGAGACTTCATATCATAGCCTCTTAATGAATGAATTCAGTTAATTCATGGTGTCTTATGATACTTGTTAATAGCCCAACCCTGCATATATAACCACTACCTGTCTGTAGTTATAGCTTAAAATGTGCAGATGTATGGCCTTCGGTAGGTAAGAGTAGTAAAGGTCAACATTTATGTGTATTTATTATATGTTTAGCATGCTGGATCGCATATAACTGAATAAGATTAGTAAAGAAAAAGAAGTTGAAATAGTGTTGTACTGTGCAATACTAGGTAACAAGCATGCCATTCGTGTTTCCTCTTTCTTCTGTAGCATAATGACTCCAATTGTTATTGTTCATAGCAGAGTCTCGATTACCTGTTGTCCCACGTAACATGTAGTGCATTACAAAAAAAGATTATACTTTTTGAATGCTTCATCTCACCTTAGCAGTTTTTTATTGTCAGACTTTCTGGTTTAATTTACATCTTGACATGCAATCTTGTTTTTCAATTCATGGTGTAGTACCTTGACGAGAACAAGAAGTTGATATTGGCAATTGTGGACAATCAAAATCTTGGAAAACTCGCTGAATGTGCCCAGTGAGCATCTCTCTCTCTTGTCTGCCAGCAGCAGCTCACACTTTCTCTTCTACATGTGTATCAGTGTATTTCTGTGAATTTTCTTTACATAGTGATAATTGATGTTGCTATATATGCCAAAGAACCTTTTAAGAGTCGTCACAGCTGGAGATGAAATAGATACTGTTGCTGACCCATAGTTTGTGTATTCAACTACATTCGATCATCTGATATCAGATATACCTGATGCTAACAACTAAACTACAAAACTTAAATGTGTGCTTTACCACATTTAAAAGTGTTGGTTGGGATTGATTTTATTTTATTCGTTTCTTATTTTAATTGGAGATGAGATATTTGGTGGCCTTGAAACGTGGACCTTTCGTTGATGTGGTGGCTCTTGCTATTAGCTATATTACATCTTAGAGTTTTTCTTAGTGACCACTGTTCCAATTTTCATGAATTGGCGTTCGCAGATTATCAGAATCCCTCTTGTTTTTCTCTGTATATGGCGTTTATCCGTACATGTGCTTTGTGTAAGTGAATGAGAGAGAAAAAGGTCATTTATCTGAAGTAGGTTCATTAGATTTGGCTTTCAACCATGTGTAGTGATAATGTGAGTGAACCATCCCAGAATTCATAAGCCATCCAAATTATTGGACAATACTTAGAGCCTGTTTGTCTCCCATTATAGGAGAAATTATAGAGTTTTGTATAGTATTTTTTGAAGAATTTGTGGTTAAAATTTAAAGAAATGTTATTGATTTGTGTAGAATATTTTATTGTGTAAATGTGTGATGGAGATTGTTACTATAGCAAACAAATTTAATTTGTTAAAAGATGACAAACAAGGGTTTAATTGTTTAATTGAAAGAAAAAATCATATGATATTGACCTTCATGATATGCTGTTCTGGATGATAAGTTACCAGGCTCTACTTCAAAAGAATTTGATGTATTTGGCTGCAATTGCCGATGCTCAATCGCAGACACCTGCAATGCCTCCCCAGGTATCTTATGACTGTCAGATACTCCAATTTCTCTGATAATATTGCACTATTTTAGCTTATTCACATGTTTGCAAGTGCAGATGGTTCCTCACCCAGCAATGCAACAAGGAGGGTTTTACATGCAGCATCCTCAAGCTGCAGGCATAGGTCCACAGCCCGGTATGTTTCCCCAAAGAACATCCGTACAGTTCAATAATCTACATCAAATGCCAGACCAGCAGCAGCATCTATCCCAACACCACTCACAGCCACAAGCCATGCAAGGTCACATGGGTATGCGTCCTGCTGGGCCTAGTAATGGCATGCACCCCACAAATAACGAGTCTACTCTTGGAGGGAGTGGCCTGGTTTTGAATTCCGGCCATGGAGGAAATAAGCAAGATAACCCTGTTGAAGGGTCCTCTGGAGCCAATGGTCAGGGAACCTCAGATGCTGCACATGGTGGCGGAGATGGAGAGGAAGCTAAATAATGACCTTGTGAAATATCTGAAATCGTCTCCTGTAGGATTAGCGTCTTTCTTGTGGGGTTTTTGTCCGTTCAGCAACGTTCGGACAGGAAAGTTTGTAGTGTTCAAGTGGTAGCAAAGGTTTGATGTTTTTCCTTTCTGGATGGCTTTTTCTCTGATTAGGGGAAGACAGTTTGGCTATAAGCTTCAGCCCTGTTCTATAATAATTTTGTAATGATTCTAGATGTTTTATAAACAGTATGTTACTAGTACTAATTTTCATGTTGATTATAAACATACAAACTTTTCATGCTTTGATAACATTCCTGACTAAAGTATAGAAGGTCTATGTTTTTATTGATGTATGCTTTGTATGCCATAGGTTGTATACGGTTATGAATCTTGAAATTTGCTATAGCTATCTCTAGCCCATTATTGTACCGCTAAAGTATGCCGTGCTAATAATGACATGTTTGATAAGATAGATTAAAAAAACGTTAAAATCTTGCAATATGTCATTCACTCTGTTTGTTTAACAAACAGTTTTGCAATTTTTAGAAACCTTGTACATGTGCATTTTGCTTTGTCCCCCTTCCTTCGGCATTAGAAGAAATATTAAGCTCCCGTTTGCTTAAAATTAAAATCAAATTTTAAGTAGGTTTTGATAAAAGTTGAGAAAATGTGTATTGAAAGTTGTGGGTTTCATAATATGTAGTTAAATTAATCATTGACTTTAATTTAAATTAAAATTTAGATTTTAATTTGTACCAACTTGGGCTAAAATTTGGGCTCTGAATATGAACATGTACTATTTCTTATCCAAATGGAATGTTAATCATTGTCAAGAATAAAGAGAAAAAAAAGCAAGTTTCAAATGAACAGTCTTTAATTTGCTTTGGTTTGACAAAGAAGAAAAAAGGAAAAAGAGAGAAGAATTATTCAAAGAGCGTAAAAAAAAAAAAAAAAAAGTTGTACAAAGACCTCGATGACTTCTGGGAATTTCTCGAAAGAAACCCAACAAGAATTCTGCATCTTAATGATCGAATCTTGCATAAACAATATTTGAAAAAAAGAAAAGTTATTCTTTGAATTATTTTATTAATGTTTTGTTAATTACTCCTCCCTGGATTCTAAAATCCATTCGCCACAAGTGTCCTAATCCTTCAACCGCCCAGAAAATTAAAGCTTATCTATCTTATTTTTATAACATAAGCAAATGATTTTCTTGAATTTAATAAATTCAGACAAGAATTTTTCAAAATTAAGATTATTTAATTTAGCCTGCCTAATAAATGAGGAGTGGATTCTCAGAGTAATTATCCATGTTTAGAAAAAAAAGTTGCCGTATTTAACAGGTTATAATTAGCAGTATCTTAAACAAGAAATTAAGGCCTTAATAAAAAATATAAATAGTTATTTTCAAACAACTTGTGTGTGGTATGTTCAGTCATATCTTCTTCTTTGTTCTTTAATTTTTATTTTTTTTCTCCTTTTCAGGGGACTTGAATTTTGGAGCCAAGAAAACATTAGCAAAGAATAACATGAAACAAGAACCACCACCCCCGTCGCAGCACCACCGGAAGAGACTGATGGTTTCTGCCCTACAGAAGTTCGGTAAAACTATCGCTTATTTTCTCCTTCTCCTACTGACCTACTATCTAGGTTATCTATCTGCAGCCTCTTCCACCTCGAACAAACCTACTTTATTATCAAGAATTCCCGTAGAAACTATCCCAGCCACCACCTTCAGATCCTCCACCACCAGCTCCGCCGCCCCAGTAGTTGACCACAACATCTTTTCAATTCAGTGTATCGATCCAGTTATCTCGGAAAAAGTCCGCCAAGCAGTTCTTGATCGAGTCTTCCATGGCAAGTCCCCGTGGCAAAACTTCCCCCCCGCGCATGTTAGCACTCTTCTCCGCCAGAACCGGATTAAAGGGTGGGGTTCCACCGGTGCAGTCTTCGAGAACCTCATCCGGCGAGTGAGGCCCGAGACCATAATTGAGGTGGGCACTTTTCTTGGTGCGTCGGCTCTTCACATGGCGAAGTTGACTCGTCAACTCGGTCTCAAGACTCAGATACTCTGCATTGACGATTTTCGGGGCTGGCCCGGGTTCTTGGAAAAATTCAGGGACATAAAAATGGTAAACGGAGATGTTTTGCTCATGTACCAATTCATGCAAAACGTTGTTTATGCAAATGCCACTGAATCAGTCCTTTTCATGCCATTCTCCACCGCGTCAGCTCTCGATAAACTCTGTGAGTGGGGCGTGTCCGCTGAGTTGATTGAAATCGACGCGGGTCATGATTTTCACTCGGCATGGACCGATATAAACAAGGCCTATAAGATTTTGAGGCCCGGTGGTGTCATTTTTGGGCATGACTATTTTACTTCTGCGGATAATAAAGGCGTTAGAAGAGCGGTCAACATGTTTGCTCGACTCAATAATCTCCGAGTCCAACTCGATGGGCAGCACTGGGTCATCAATTCGAAATAACTCGTTACAAGTTATTAGTTATTCAAAATTTTTTTGGAAACTTTAGTACACAAAATTGAACAATATTACCGGAGAAAGGTTGAAAGTCAATTTTTTTCTTTCTCAAACTAATTAAGGGTTTGTTCATTTGACCGTTAGAGAGAAAAATGAATCTCACTCATAAATGCAGAAATTAAAAATGACGGCTAACTTAAAAAGGTAACGATCAAAAAATTGGAACCAAACGGGGGCTAAATATTTCGAACTAGTGTAATAGTTAAATTTTTTTCCTTCCTAAACAATATTTCGAACTAGTGAAATTAAATAAATAAAATTAAACTATGACATTTGGAGTATTTAACTATTTACTCTAGGAGGTGGCTTTATCTTGAATGAGAAAATGTATTCCAGTATACTAAACTATGTCATTATCAGTCTAGTCTAATCTAGAAACAAATTAAATGTACAAGTACAGAAAAAACTATATGAATGTCAACTTAATCTAGAATAGGGAATAAATTATAAAATTTGCCTACATTACCTGCAGACAAAAAATGATTAATTATCTCCATCTTGCAAATTCTTATCAGATAAACCATTTCGAGAGCTTAGAACATATTTGATGATTCAACGAGACTATTGTCAATTTGGCAACACATAAGATGAGAATTTACAAAGAGTGACTTTTTACAAAGAGATGAGAGGGAAACTCGGTAAGATTTCAGAGTTATCAATCTTATGTAGGAAAGAAAAATTATCAAAAGAAGTAAATTACGCAATTGTTTGGTGAAATTAAAATTAGATTTTTTAGTAGATTGTGATAGAAGTTTTTGAAATGTGTAGTTCAAAAGTCGTGGAACCCATAAAAAATGTGATTAATATTGATTGTTTGATTTTGATTTAGATTAAAATTAGATTTTAATCAAAACCGAACATGGGCTAAGGAAAACAAATCAAGATTTATGATCTTTAATATGTTCAAGAATGGGAAAAATGTAATTATTCAAGTGTAAATAAGAAGCAATTATTCAAGTAGAAAAATAAAAATATCAAAATTTGAAGGGGGGGGGGGGGGATAAGTGTACACTTAATTTGACAACCCTCGGGCAAGCTAGCCCTCTATTATAGAGGACTATCAGCTGCCCCCAGAGCATATCCCAACTGGTAAAGATGAGGGCGCTTCAAGTTTGGCAGATCAAAGGTCGTGAGTTCAGTTCCTGGAAGGCTATTGGAAGACAGATCTTCTCCTGGAAGATAGGATTTATCCTGAAAGGCAAGAACTCTACTAGAAGGCAAGGTGTAAAGATAGGAAACGACTTGGTTGGCACTTTGGCAGATCAGTTGGGGGCTCTTGAGCACTGATCAGTTTGAGGCACAACCTGCGGTTTAACCTGTCTGCAGCTTGAGAGGTCAAGGTGTAGACTCCAGGATTTAGCCACTGTAAGGTGGATACCTAGATATAAAAAAAAAAAATAGAGGACTATCAGCTAGGGAGTACACACTTTGTATACCTACCATTTCTCGTAAAAAAATATAAATAAATAAATAGAATTTGAGGTCCCCGATCCTTTCGAAAAATGTGCCATCATGTCCTAAACTTTCTAATTTTAGTACCTATATGTCAAATCTTTTAATAAATACGCATGGGACCATCAATTGACTAAAACTTCATCTCCAAATACGTAGGTTTCGAAGGAGGAATGGTAAGTTGATAATATTTTTGGTCAATCTGCAAATATATGGACAGAAAACATCCACGTGTACTTTCGAGTGCTCATTTATTAAAAAGTTTGAATTGTAGCTGTTTAGATTAGAAGGTTTGGAATGTGACAACATATTTTAAAAAGGTTTGACGCCTCGGCTATAAATTTTCCCAAAAAATTAAAAAAAATTGGGGAATAAGAAAAATCTTACAATTTTCAATAACTTAATCTAAAATATAATACAAATGACATAGTTTTCATTTTTCATTATAAAAAAATTGGAATAAGAGCAAATTATGAAAGTAATCTAAGATAAGAAACAATTTAAATATAACAGTCCATCATATAGTAATTTTAATACATTTTATTTCATTTCATTTTATTTTTTTTATGACGGAAACCCGCAGCAGCTACCATTCGAGTGCGTACTGAGTAAATCATTGAGCTGATGTAATAGCCAGCAAGCCACGTTAGCCAGGTAAATCACACTAGGCAATCTCGGTGTGACAAACTCGATCAAGAAAGTGTTAGTAGAGGGAATCGAATTCGTGACCAAAGGTCTCCGCACTTACTTACTCCACCACCCCATGAGGGGCATTTTAATACTTTTTTTTTATATCCAGATATCCACCTTATAGTGACTAAATCCTGGAATCTACACCTTGGCCCCTCAAACTGCATACAGGTTAAATCGCAGGTTGTGCCCCAAACTGATCAGTGCTCTAGAGCCCCCCAACTGATCTGCCAAATTGCCAAACAAGTCGTTATTTCCATCTTTGCACCTTGCCTTCCAGTAGAGCTCCTGCCTTTCAGAATAAATCCTGCGTTCCAAGAGCCTTCCAGAAATTGAACTTACGACCTCTGATTTGCCAGTCTTGAAGCGCCCTCATTTTTGCCTGTTGGAATGTACCCTGTGGGGGGCCATTTTAATACATTTTATTGATTGCTGTTTAGGTGGCATAGGAAGACTTGCTATTTACATAGCATTGATGTCAATTGATTAGATAGTCAAATTCAAATTTGGTCTTAACTGAGTTCTATTGAAATAAACATGAAAATAAAATTATATCTAATGATGCATAGAAATATAAATATTTTTGAGTCACGGTGTTGAACAAAGTTTATCCGTATAGACAAAGTTCTTCAAATTGTCTATTTTTTTATTAAAAAAAAAAAAGAAAAATGAAAAGAGGACGCATCATATTGACCTGTCCCATTACCTAAACGGGATGTGGACCATTCAAACTTATTCAGAATATTTTAATTTTAATTTTTATATTTTTCACTTGAAATTGTATTTTTAAAAACAAATAATAAATTAAAAAATAATTAAATTTATTATTATTATTTTTTTACTGATAAGTTATCCAATTGCCAACTAATTTAACGTAAAAAATAAAATAAATACCATTGTCAATTAATATAAAATGAGAAACAAATTAAATATACAATTGCCAATTTAATCTAGAATAATGCTACTTGTGCATAAGCAGTTATATAATGATTTATATGCAGATAAGATGTTAAAATGATGGATGAATTTTTTATTCGATTGAAAAATTCGGACCCAATCATATTTCAACACATCATGTGTATATAAATTATTGTGTAAACATATTATGTACATGTAGCACAATCATTTAATCGAGAGTATGAAAAAATAAATAAATTTAAATTATGCAAAAACTCTATCTATGTAATTGTCATGACTCATGACAATCCAGGTTGCCAAGCTAACAAACACAATCCAATTTAAACCAGGCCCAAATATAAGCAGCCCTCACATGTCAAATTCAAACAGTTAACAGCTCTCATCTTTCAGTGTTAGGCCCAACCCATAATAATCGGCCCGAAGTCAAAAAGAACTTGTGGCAGGCCGTGGCAGAATTTTTCCAAATTTGATGCGACTGAGATTTTTACTCTCTTCTTTTTTTGTCGAATCGATAATCTTTTTGAATATATATTTTTTTGTCGATTAAAAACATTGCATTATTATTGTAATATCGACACCGGTCCTAGCACAAAGAATCTCAATTCTATAAGATTATCACTCACACTAGTCTGGTATGTTGATTGAGTATCGATATTTATGATTCTCTAAAGCTCTTCCCATGACTCATGATTGTGTGTAAATGGGATATGAAATATCACTACTCTTTATTTTAATATTGAGCAATATATAAGAGATTTTAGGTGTTCATTTATAGTATAGAACAATATCTGTAATGTCATTGTTTTATGACAATGGCTTTTGGTTAAAGTTTTGTGGGTGTGATTTTATTCATTTTTCGTATGAAGCATGAGGATGGTTTCGAGCTAGGTGCATTTTCATTTATCTTAATATTTGCCTAATGTTGGGGTGTGTATATATTTTCCAGTAACCGATCACTAAATTTTTCAGTATTCTTTCACATCTTCTTTCATTATAATTTTGATTGGTTTGCATGATTGACGTAGACAATCAACTAAGCATTTTAGTGAAAATGTTGCATCAAACACATCTAAAAATTCATATATAGAGGAACGATGGGTGGTTGGAAAGGGAGAAAGTTGTAATCCAACAAGTTAAAATCTCAAGAACTCGAAGAGTGTCTTAAAGTGAGACATTGGGAAAGTCTATGTAAAGTTTACCAATTGGAAGTGGAAGAGATTCACATTTTGAAAGGCTTGTTACAAAGACATGTTAGGACTCAAAAATCAATGCAAATATCAATCTCGATCCTATTATTACATTCACACTTCCTCTTATATCCAATTTGTATGCAACAACAAGAAGCTCCATGCTCAATTCATATATAGATGGGTTCAAGTTCTAAGAATCCAATGTGATTGTTAAGCCAATGAGATAGTCGAAAGCTTTCAAACTCGATAAGAAGTAAAAGCATAAAATTCTATGAAGTGGATAAGTTTCAAATAGCTGTCAAAATAAACAAACAAGTTTCAAGGTATTTTTATATTTGGAATTGTATTCAATTTTCACTTTTATAGTCTTTTTTTAAGTGATCGGCTTTTGTAGAATTTAATGCACTTTTATTGACTTTTGTTGATTTTTACAAAATCAATGAAAGTCTTTACAGAATTATATAGACTTCCATTTAAATATTTTTATAGACTTTTATATAATTCATTTGACTTTTGTAGATTCTCATTTTATTTTTATTTTAAAAAAAAAACAACAAAAAAAAAAAAAAAAACACACACACACACACAAACTCAACATTACAATAATTAATCTATTTTAAAAAGAATTTTAACTAAAATGATCTTTTCCATAGAAAATTTGGAGGAAACGATGAAAATAAAGGGAATGAAAAATAATATAAATTTTTTTATTTACAACTTGATCTTTATAGAAAAATGAGAAAATGATGAAAAATAAATAAGAGAGAAAAAAGGAAAAGAGAATATTAAATCGAGAACAACTATAATAACACAATGAAGAAAGC